CCTGACCCGGAGGGCCCAGGCAAGCAAAGTCTCATCAGATCTCAGAAACTAAGCAGGGTGTGCCCAGTTTGGTGTAGTGGTTACGGTAAGTCCGCGGACTCTAATCTGGGAGAACTGGGTTTGATCCCCCACTCCTCCACTTGCACCTGACTGGATGACCTTGGGCAAGCCGTAGTTCTGGTAAGAGCTGTTCTTGAAAAAAGAGCTGTTTCTGCCAAGAGCTCTCTCAGCCCCACCGACCTCACAGGGTGTGTGTTGTGGGGAGAGGAAAGGAAAGGAGTTTGTAAGCCACTCTGAGACACCTTCGGGTAGTGAAAGGGCGGGGTATAAATCCAATCTCTTCTTCCTTCTCCTCTTCTGGTTAGGTCTTGGATGGGAGACCACCAAGAATGTCCAGGGTTGCTATGCAGAGGCAGGCAAGGGCAAACCGCCTCTGTAGGTCTTTTGCCCTGACGTAGATGGCACAAGCTAGCCTGATCTCATCATATCTCAGAAGCTAAGCAGGGTCGGCTCCGGTTAGTACTGGGATGGGAGACCACCGAGGAAGTCCAGGGTTTTTGCTGTGTGGAGGCAGGCGATGGCAAACCGCCTCTGAACATCTCTTGCCTTGAAAACCCTAAGGGGCCAACATAAGTTGGCTGCAATTTGACGACAAAGTACAAGCAACGGGGCTTTTTTTCTCCAGACTAGTTGGCAGCCCAAGTGATATCCATGGCTGGGAAGGCAGTGAACGAACCACTGGAAACAGCAGGGGGAAAGGCAGCAGAGGAGGAGGGGAAAGCTGACGCAGAAGAAGAAGAAGAAGAGATTGGATCTATACCCCACCCTTCACTCAGAGTCTCAGAGCGGCTGACAATCTCCTTTCCCTTCCCCTCCCCACAACAGACACCCTGTGAGGTAGGCGGGGCTGAGAGAGCTCTGAAAGAACAGCTCTGAGAGAACTATGGCTTGCCCATGGTCACACAGCAGCTGTATATGGAGGAGTGGGGAATCTAATTCCCTTCAAAAGGGAATTAGATAAGCATATGGAGCAGAGGTCCATCAGTGGCTATTAGCCACAAGGTATAGATAGGGACTCTGGGGCAAGTGATGCTCTGTCTTCTTGGTGCTTGGGGGGGGCAACAGTGGGAGGGCTTCTAATGTCCTGGCCCCACTGGTGGACCTCCTGATGGCACCTGGTATTTCTGGCCACTGTGTGACACAGAGTGTTGGATTGGATGGGCCTTTGGCCTGATCCAGCATTGGCGTCTCTTATGTTTTTATGTAAACCCAGTTCTCCCAGATTAGAGTCCGCACACTTAACCACTACACCAAACACAGAGGCTCAGCAAGCCTACCCAACCATTGGCCCTTCCTGCAAATCTCTGCTGAAAGCCCACCTTTCCTTGGACCACTCAGGCTGCACCCCTTCCACCACCACCCATCTTTGCCTTCCTTCACTTTATTCCTTCCCTTCCTCTCTCCTTGAGCTGCAAGGCAGACTGCAAAGCTCCTTGGGGCAGGACCTGCTTATTTCATTACGGCATTACTTCAGTAATAATTCTGCAGGTTGTCTTCCTTTTTTTAAAATGTAGTTGACCTACTTTACTTTTATTTTTATTTTCTTCATTTCTACTTGCCTTCCTCCCCGGTGGGGACCCAAATCGGCATACATCATTCTCCTTTCCTCAGATTTGTCCTCATGACAATCCCGTCAGGTAGGTTAGGCGGAGAGTGTGTGTTCCCTCTAAGCTATGGAGTCCTGTGAGCAAAAATTCTACTTCGTGAGCTACTGGCATTAAAGTTGTGAGCGAGCGATTTGGCTGCTGCATAAATCAGTTTGCTCTGGAGCCATCCTTCCCGAGCTGAGACAAAAATGTGTGAGCCGGAGGCTAAAAAAACTGTGAGCCAGCTCACACTAAGTCAGCTTAGAGGGAACAGTGCGTGTGACTGGCCCACGGTCCCCCAGAGGGCAGAGGGGGACTCGAACCCGGGTCTCCCACATCCTACTACAGTGCTCTAACCACTACTCCACACTGGCTCTGAAAGTGATTATGGTCGATTAAATCGCACTGCTTTACAACAGGGCCTCCGTGAAAGGCGGAAAGACGAAAGGGTTTGCTTATAGACTGGAAGATTTAGAAGTCATTACGAAGGACTGAACATGCTGCAATATTGCCTTGCTGCCTTCCCTTATTATATAATGTTTAAGTGTGTATATGCATATTATATCAATATTAAAAATTGATTGCACGCATAATAGATGAAAAGGCAGCATACATATTTTAATGGCATGAATAAAGGAAGGTCGGCCAACTTCTCAAGGGCAGCTTGCCCCAAATGACATCCCAGGAGACAAGCCTCTCCTAAGCTTGTCTCTGATGGTAATTTGCCAGAGACACAGAAAGGACTATAGCAAGGCACAATGGGAGATCCATCACCATATGTGTGTCCGCCCATTCTCATCTTGCAACGTAAGAGAAGCCCTGCTGGATCAGGCCAGTGGCCCATCCAGTCCAACACCCTGTGTCACCCAGTGCCCAGAACCCAGGTGCCATCAGGAGGTCCACCAGTGGGACCAGAACTCCAAAATCCCTCCTACTCTTCCCTCCCCCGCACCCAGAAGACAGAGCATCACTGCCCCAGACAGAGTATCTACAGGTAAAGGTAAAGGTTTCCCTTCCTCGAAAGCCAGTCAAATCCAACTCTAGAGATGCAGTGCTTATCTCCATTTCCAAGCCGCTGTCCAAAGACGTTTCTGTGGCCATGTGGCCGGCATGACTAGACGCTCCAGATGTTTATCCAATCCCCTCCTGAAGCTGCCTACACTTGTAGCTGCCACCACTTCCTGCGGCACTGAATTCGATGTGTTAATCACTCTTTGGGTGAGGAAGTGCTTCCTTTGATCTGTTCTAAGCCTACTGCTGATTCATTTCACGGCGTGCCCATGAGTTCTCGTATTGTGAGAAAGGGAGGAAACTACTTCTTTCTCTGCCTCCTCTATCCCATGCATAATTTCGTAAACCTCGTCACCCCTCAATCTGGTACAACCGCCCCAGGAAGGTGCGCCCGGCCCCCTCACTTCAGGAAGCAGGTAAAGACGGTTTTATTCTGGACTGCACTTTCACTGATTTGGTGTTTATTATCGGCTGCCCCCTTCGGCGTTTTTAAACTGTGACTCTGGTGGGTTCTAGTGTGTTTTATATACTGTTTTGTTTACATCAGAAGCCGCCTTGAGTTCGGCAAGAGGGAAAGGTGGCTGATGAAATGTTTTAAATAAATAATAAATAATCTGTAGTGGAAACAAGGACAGAGTTGTTTTCAAATAATAACTAACAAGCCAAGGGCAGCTGAAGCCCGCCCACCTCCCCGGTTAACTCACAGCCCTCTGTTGAGTGCAGCAATCTCCTTTCCGCCTGGCTCAGAGGGTGGAACTAAACCCGGCTTCGGGAGAAAAAGGATACAAAAGACAATGGTGCTGAGACGTAAAGCACAGGAAGAGGCAGGATTGGGCTCCTCTCAGCTGGTTGCTTGATTCTGGTTTAAAAAATGGGTATCAACAGACTGCTAAGAAAAGGGGTGGGGTGTGTGTGTGTGTGTCTGAGGAAAGGCTGAAAGAGTTGGATATATTTAGCCTGGGAAAGAGAAGGCTAGGACAGTGCAAGGTGATGCACATTGGAGCCAAAAATCCTAAATATAAATACACATTGATGGGGTCTGAACTGGCAGAGACTGAGCAAGAGAGAGATCTTGGAGTTGTAGTGGATAACTCACTGAAAATGTCGAGACAGTGTGTGACTGCAATAAAGAAGGCCAATGCTATGCTGGGGATTATTAGGAAGGGTATTGAAAACAGATCAGCCATATCATAATGCCCTTATATGGGTAGGGCGGGATACAAATCCCATAATAAATAAAATAATGCCTCTATATAAATCAATGGTGCGACCTCATTTGGAATACTGTGTGCAGTTCTGGTCACCACACCTTAAAAAGGATATTATAGCTTTGGAAAAAGTGCAGAAAAGGGCAACTCGAATGATAAAAGGGTTTGGAACACTTTCCCTATGAGGAATGTTTAAAGCACTTAGGGCTATTTAGCTTGGAGAAACGACGACTGAGGGGAGACATGATTGAGGTTTATAAGATTATGCATGGGATAGAGCAGGTAGAGAAAGAGGTACTTTACTCCCTTTCTCCCAATACAAGAACTCGTGGGCACTCTATGAAATTGCTGAGCGGTCGGGTTAGAACGGATAAAAGGAAGTCCTTCTTCACCCAAAGAGTGATTCACACATGGGATTCACTGCCACAGGAAGTGGTGGCGGCTACAAGCATGGACAGCTTCAAAAGGGAATTAGATAAGCATATGGAGCAGAGGTCCATCAGTGGCTATTAGCCACAAGGTATAGCTAGGGGCTCTGGGGCAAGTGATGCTCTGTCTTCTTGGTGCTTGGGGGGGGGCAACAATGGGAGGGCTTCTAGTGTCCTGGCCCCACTGCTGGAGGGCCTCCTGATGGCACCTGGTATTTCTGGCCACTGTGTGACACAGAGTGTTGGACTGGATGGGCCTTTGGCCTGATCCAACATTGGCATCTCTGATGTTCTTACGTAAGGCTCAGAGGGGACATGATTGCAGTCTTCAAATACCCAAGCTTGTCAACATCCTTCCTCGAGGCCCACAGAGAGGCATAACCTGAAAGGAGAAACACCTGGCACCCAGTGTTCCCTCTAAACTCTGTGCACGTGAGCGGCCGCTCATTAACACGGGATGCCCCACTCGGCAGCAGTCTGGAGCTGCACGCAGGGTCTTGCAGTGCCCCTTGCCCATTTGAAGATTACAGCAGTTCCAGTCTGCTCAGGATGTGGAGTGCTCCGCTCAGTGTGTGTGTGTGGGGGATTAGAGGGAACATTGCTAGTGGCATCTCTGCCCTCTACAAAAGCTTCCCTCCGTCGTCCCTTTGGTACTTTTTCCTCCTGAAGCTGCTACTCTTTGCCAAGCAAAGATGGCCGCTGCTTACCCACTAGGACGGTGATGACCTTATTGCTGGCGTACTGCTCGATCTCCCTCAGCCATTCCGGGAGGCATCGGAACGACTCTTCGCAGGTGATGTCGTAGGTCAGTATCAAGGCGTTGGCGCTGCGGTAGTAACTCTGCGTGATGGACCGGAATCTCTCCTGGCCGGCCGTGTCCCAGATCTGCAGCTTTGGTTTCCCCCAGCATTATGAGAGAGGAGGGGGGGAAAGGAGACAAAATCACGGCATTAGCGCACAATCCTTAACCAATAGTGCATCGCAGACCTGTGAGGTGCCCACACGAGAACAGATCCCAAAATGGAGAAGCAGGATGTATATTCTTCCACATGCATTGTTGCAAGTCCAAAAAATTAACTGCTGCCCTACAGGGTAAGACCAAATGCCATCCAACCCAGCTTCCTGCTTCCAGCCAACCAGGTAATTCTGCAAAGCCCATAGGCCGGGGTGTGTGTGTGGCTTTGTCATTTAGAAGAAGGAAGAAGAAGAAGAAGAGATTGGATTTATACCCCGCCCTTCACTACCCAAAGGTGTCTCAGAGTGGCTTACAAACACCTTCCCCTTCCCCTCAGAGTGGCTTACAAACTCCTTTCCCTTCCCCTCCCCACAACAGCACCACTTACAAACTCCTTTCCCTTCCTATACCAGCCCCACTGAAAAGAGTGGTGAGTTAACTCAAGAGCACAGTCGCTCTTCTGTAGGAGAACTTTCCGGCAGACTGTGCCCTTGCCGCCTGGGATCACAGACCACCCATCTTGCCCTCTCCAACCAACCCCTGCTTTTTAATCTCGGGGGCCCAGTTTTACCCGTGGGTCTCATTTTCATGATGCCCATATTCAAGAAAAACGAGTGGCTTGAGATTTTCCCCAATCCTGCGTACTGCAAGGTTTCCAATTAGCAGGGTTAACCTTCATGCACCGGCAAGGTCAGCAAGCCCTTTGGGGCACCGAAATCCACGCCGAGCGAGCACAGAACATTTCCAAAGGCCCCGTTGGCTGAGTGCATTTGGGGGAGGGAATGGGCGCGCCTGCCGATATCAGTATTTCTCAGCCTGTAAAAGCAAACCGTAACTGCTGCCCTCAACTCGGGTGATTTACGCTGGCGCTGCTCTGGTGCAAGCCACCCCCACGCTTTCCAGAGCCGCTGACCTATGTGGAGGGTCCAGAGGGAACTGTGGGATTCCTGGTCCCCATCTTGGCCTCTTGCTTTTCCTCATCCCAAGCCACATGCTCCCCACTTGGCTGGGAAACCCCGCCTTGGGGACGCCCAGCTGGGATAAAAGCGTGCATGTGTAAAATACAAACCTTCCTTCTATTGGGTTAGGCCACTGGCCTTTGGATGTCGTATATTATTGCCTATCCTGGAGTCCCCAACGTGGTGCCCGTGGGCGCCATCGTGCCCAACAGCTTTTCCTGGTGCCCGCCACATGCTTTTAGAAAATGGGCGGGGCCAGGCAGGGTTGTTGCGTAGGAGGGCTTCTGATTGGCCACTGGAGGCCTCTTGGGCTGGGCTGACTTCTAAAAAGTTGCTTCCGCTGACATTACCGCACAAGGATCGTCACTGCACGACTGAAAGTAAAGCTGTGTGCATGCCAGAAGGTATTTTTAAATGTTATCTCATTTCTAAAAGGCGTCCTTGTTAAACGGAGCCTCTGCCTGAAACGCTGCATGACGTCGCGCCCTGACGTGCCGTGTGTGTTGCTCAACTTCCTTCGGCCGCCTTGTGGCTGTAGCCCTCTCACCTTGTCTCAGAATCCCAAAGGCGCCTGCAGACTCAAAATGCTGGAGACTCCTGGTCTATCTTGACCAAAATTGAACCAATTCAAAAGCTGCTTTTTGGCTCCCACTGCTGGGGGAGCGCGTGTGAGGGAAAGGGGGTTTCAAATGCACTCCCATCCACTGTTCCCTCTAAGCTGAGTTAGTGTGAGCTAGCTCACAGTTTTTTAGCCTCCGGCTCACACATTTCTGTCTTATCTCAGGACGGATGGCAGCAGCCCAATCGCTGGCTCACCACTTGAATGCCGGCAGCTCACCAAGTAGGATTTTTGCTCACAAGACTCCACAGCTTAGAGGGAGCACTGCTCCCATCCCTTTCTGAATCTGACCGATGGCCCTGCGTGTCTACTGGCAGAGCTTCTCCAAGGTCTCTGGGCTGAGAAAAGGTCTTTCTAATCCTGCTACCACAGAAGGGAAGGGCTGTGGCTCAGTGGCAGAACCTCTGCTCAGCATGCAGAAGGTCCCAGGCTCAATCCCCGGCATCTCCGGTTAAAAAAGACCAGGCAGAGTAAGTGATGGGAAAGACCTCCATGTGAGACCCCAGAGAGCTGCTGCCAGTCTGAGTAAACAACACTGACTTTGATGGACCAAGGGTCTGATTCAGTATAAGGCAGCGTCATGGGTTCATCCTTTTAACAGAAGATGGAGGATTCGGCTTGGGATATCCCGTGCACGTCACAGGGCAGTGGGAGAAAGCAGAGGGGGAAGCATCCATCTGATCAGACAATCCACATAACGCCGAACTTTTACACATGTGACAGGTACGACATAGGGGTCGACCACAACCAGTGTTGATGGACCAAGGGTCTGATTCAGTATAAGGCAGCGTCATGGGTTCATCCTTTTAACAGAAGATGGAGGATTCGGCTTGGGATATCCCGTGCACGCCTGTGGCCCGTCACAGGGCAGTGGGAGAAAGCAGAGGGGAAAGCATCCATCTGATCAGACCATCCACACAATGCCAAACTTTTACACATGTGACTGATACGACACAGGGGTCGACCACAACTACCCCCATCACAAAGGCAATGTGAAAAGTGAGCCGAAAGTGTGAGGCTCAAGGATTTTAAAACACAGCAGATCTGTCTTTCGTATTTCACCTAAAACACGAATGAACGGGGGCAGTGGGGAGGGAGAGAAAGCAGGAAAATCCAGCTTGGGCTTACCTTCACTTTTTCACCATTGATCTCCACCGTCTTAATCATAAAGTCAACCCCGATGGTGGCTCCTTGGCCCGGTGGGAAAAGCCCCTTCGAAGAAAGAACAAAACGTTACCCTTGCAGCGCTTTGGACGCGGGAGGCGGGGGACAACTCGCACACCTCTGGCTTGGAATCGCTGCTCCTTTCTTCTGTTTCAGGAGCCTGACCTGTCAAGCCGAGGGGGAGCCCCACAAAACACATATTCACAAGACATACCCGTGCGACCTTATATTTGCTTGGGTTTCAGCATATGCTGGCCGGGCGTGTGTGTGCGTGTGTGGAGTTGCTCCAGAAAGAACAGCACCTGATGCAAACTCCAGAGCAAACTAATTTATGCAGTGGCCAAATCACTTGCTCACAACTTTAATGCCAGGAGCTCACAAAGTAGAATTTTTGCTCACAAGGCTCCACAGCTTAGAGGGAGCATTGGTCACAACCCTGGCATTCCTTGGAGGTCGCCCTCCCAACTCCTAACCAAGGCCGACTCTGCTTCGCTTCCGAGATCAGATGAGACCAGGCTAGCCTGGGCCAGCCATGTCAGGGCGTACCTTGGGAATCTCGCAAGGCCTTTGAGGTGCTACTGAACGCAAATCTCGCTCCTTCCCAACGAGACCCCAACCAACCCACCATCCGATACCTGCGGGAATCTGGCACGAAGAGGAGTTTCAACACTACCAGCAAAATCTCTCTGCGGAAGGTGAAATTAGCACAACCACCCCAGAGATTTCCCGTTCCCTTTAAACGGTTGGTTTTTCCTCCCCTTTACTGTAAAGGAAACAAGGGTGTGTTTCCCCCCAAAAAAACTCTTTTACTTTCTTTGTATGCTTTATGCCTTTTTTAAAAGAGCACATGTCTTCTGGAGATGTCAGGTGTGTGTGTGTGGGGGGGGGTCGGCTAGCGGGGGGAACGGGCAGCCTCAGAGATTTCCGCCGGAATCCCACTTCTCTCCAAGACACTGGCTCCCTCATAAGAACATAAGAGACGCCAATGTTGGATCAGGCCAAAGGCCCATCCAGTCCAACACTCTGTATCAGACAGTCGCCAGAAATACCAGTGCCATCAGGAGGTCCACCAGTGGGGCCAGGACACTAGAAGCCCCTCCCACTGTTGACCCCCCCAAAAAAAAGCACCAAGAAGACAGACCATCACTTGCCCCAGAGCCCCTGTCTGTACCTTGTGGCTAATAGCCACTGATGGACCTCTGCTCCATATGCCCTCCTTGTGTAAGCCTGGACACTTCCACCTCCCCAAATGCCAGCAGGGAAGCCAGAAGGCTAAAGAGCAAAATAACTAGCTGTGCATTTTTACAGTAATCCCTGGAGGGATCTACTCAACATGCCCCTGCAGCCAGGGAGAGCTGGGAGGGGGGAGGATTGAATATTTCCAAAGGCTGTTTAAAAGGGGGCGGGGGCTCCCTGTGGGTTAAAGAGTGCTGACGATTTTAAAACTTCAGATCGCCAAGTAACACTCAGCATGTTACATAATCTCTCAAGGCAAGCTTCTTTCCAAAGCCAGGCGTGAAGCCAATTCAGCGGCTGCCTTTACCCTCGAATATGTTGGATCCCCAAGCATCGAGAATAAATCCACGTTTTCAAGAAAAGCAAAATTTATTTCAAAGCGTTGAAGACATACTCAAACACGTTCTTTGTTAGAACTGGGGATACACAGGTAGGGCGAGCATAATAAAGGAAATTCAAACAGATACATATCCAATGAATAACATTCCCGCTGGCGGGCTAAGGAAACGGTTGCGCGCCCAGTCCATGGGAACGAGGCAGAACATCAGACAAAACACAGGTGCAGTTCACATGAGATAGCAATAGGCAAGTATTACAGCATCTCCTCTCCCACACATCCACCAGTACTTATCTTATGCATTCCAGCACAGAAGCAGGATAGTAGAAACAAGCCGGGTGCAACAGGGTAAGGATATGTACACAGAGGTCACGGAAAACAGAATGGCAGCTTGCTGACAGAATTCTTTTTACACCGTAGGAAATAAGGCCTCTCCCTACCTACCTCCCTCTCTCTCTTTATTTTGTGGTAGTGGTGGTGGCTTTTTGGCTCAGTGGACCTCCCCTCCTCCTAAGCCCCGAGACGTTTCCCAAGGGTTTAAAAGGGACAGCTGTAGTCGCGGGGACGGGAGTCCAAGACCTGAGTTTCCTGCCTTCAGGTGGGGCCCCGGAGACCTCCCAGAATTACAGCTGGATCTCCAGGTGACACAGGGCGATTCTGCACCTGGCATTCGCTCCACACCTTCTCGACGCGGAGGAAAAGGTGCAGCTCAAAACCACATTCAGATACCCCTGGGGGCAACGCCACACTGACTGCAGAGTCGCCCTTGAACGGCCATACATCTACGCAGAAGGTACCATAAAAACCCGATGGTCAAAGGAAGTGACTGCGGCATGCAATGCAGAGGGGAATTTCTGTTCCAGTGTGGGGCTTGCTAACACAGTGCAGGGAAAAGCCAATGCAGAGTCGCCCATAGATTGGTTCCCTTGGAGAAAGTGGCTGCGTTAGGAGGGCGGACTCTACAGCAGTATACTCAGGTGATGTCCGTCCCCCCCCCCAACCCCACCGTCTCCAAAGTTCCACCCCTAATCTCTGGGAATTTCCCAACCCAGGGCTGTCCCAGAGGGTAGCTGCCGTGTCAGTCTGCAGTGGAACCGTAGAGACCCACGAGAGTTTCAGGGTATGAGCTCCCGAGAGTCAAAGCTCCCTTCAGAGACATAAGAACGTAAGAGAAGCCAATGTTGGATCAGGCCAAAGGCCCATCCAGTCCAACACTCTGTGTCACACAGTGGCCAGAAATACCAGGTGCCATCAGGAGGTCCACCAGTGGGGCCAGGACATTAGAAGCCCTCCCACTGTTGCTCCCCCCCCCCAAGCACCAAGATGACAGAGCATCACTTGCCCCAGAGCCCCTATCTATA